TTTGTTCCTCCAAATCTTTAACGTAATTTGTAGCCAATTGATCCAATTTGGCTTTGGTAATCACGTTACTCAGACCCATCGCATCCTTGATTAAACCGGTTGGTTCATTATCATATGCTTCATAAAGTCTCGAAGAAAGAAATTCCAATAAGTCCTCAAATTCACCGATCTCAAGTAAATTCGTCTCATTCTTCTTTAGCAACGCAATGGCTACGCGCATGATTGTCTCGGGAGCCCCTTCTGCAAACACTACGTCATAAATCCGAAGGACCAAAGGTAATGGATACGTATAAGCGAATAATGATAAAAACCATTGTGAAGCAAACATTGCCGCATGTACCACATGATGTTGAAAATGTGCGCTAAGCTTTGGAAGTATCTGCGAGAGAAGAGCCGAAAATTGATAAAGACGAAGTTGAAGTCCCTCCATATTTAATGTAAACATTGTTCGCATATCATAGGTTTCCATCAATCTAATGAACGGCAAAGAATGGAATTAGAATTCATTGACTCCAAACGTATTAAAAATTGATATTTTTTTTCCCTTACCGAACAAATACACAAAATGCCTGTGCCTCGCTCATCTGATAAAGGAACGTGGATATATACGACCATTAACAAGAATTTTTTTTTTTTTAAACAAATAAAGTAATAACGATGACTCACATTCATTAAAAGTGGTCCCACCAAGAATCCAAGACCTTGACAATATCCAACCAAATTATCATACAAAGAGTACGCTTTCAACACATTCCACAACATGGTCTGACCTTTACCATTTTCTTCTTTAAACATTTCAATATGAGGAAACGTTCTTGCAAGATCACGTTCAATGATCCTTTCATATGGAGAGGATTCGGATAACAATTGAGAATACATTGTTTCCAAGTAGGTGGAAGAAGCTTGACACATTGATTGCCAAACCAAACCTCTCAATTTTGGAGGTAGACCTTGCTGTAATTTCGCGGAAAGGAGGTGAGGTAATTTCGTAGCCACCGATGAATAGTCCTGAACCAAAGCGGACCAGAAATCCCAGTCGATAGTTTTTGAAGCATCATCAGCGTCATTCCCATTCTCGTTAAGGATTGGAATCAAATCGGTAATATCATTTTCATTTTCGATTGTGGGACTTGAGTTTATATCATCAATTAATGATTGCACAGTTTCAAGATTAGCCTTGAGAACGTTTGATTGAATGCACACGGATTTTGGATCATTATCCAAGATATTATTTTGACGTTCAAGACGTGCGAGCAAAAATTCCGTGGAGTTCTAAGAATTACACGAGCATCATTTTTGGTCAGATGAGTTTTTCGTCGTGACGTCACCACATACGTGACGTACGTGACACGAATGAAAGTCTTACCTGTGGTGGCAATTGAGAGTTCTCTTGTTCCAATCTCGCGAGCAAATCTTTATCAAGTTCACCTTTAGGAAGCGCTCCCAAAGCGGGTGATACTTTTAAGACATAATCTCTTGAAATTTGCCATCTTTGATCTGGGGAAATGGTCAGAGGTGAAGATGACGTAGAATCTACCGCGGATTCATCATTGGAAGTGGATTTGTTTTGAAAAGATTCCGAACGACGCAATTCAATAATTTTCGGCGACAGTAAAGGAGATGGAAAAACATCCGCGGACACCACAGATCTTGAGATTTTATTTTTTGCAGAGTCATGCTTTTGTTGCTGTTGGTGTTTCTGTTGCTTTTGCTGCTTTACCATCAGATTCAATTGAGCGGGGGCACCTGGCCTTCTATTTAACAAATTTAGAGTATTTTCGTCATTAAATGAACATCCAGGGTTAGCCTGGGTTGGGGTAACCAAAGTCTCTGAATTACATTGATCGTGAATAGGAAGAGCATTAGGAGCAACATTTATGGAGAGAGGAATCTTTTTCTCGAATTCAAATTTTTCAGAAGAATCAAGTTGGTCATTAGTATCCTGCCTAATATCAACGATTCCTTTCTGAATAAGAACATGACTTGTTTCAACAGCAAGTTCATTCTCGAGAACTTTAGTAAGGGTAGGATGCAAGACTTCAGGGATGACGGTCGTTGAGATGGAGGAGGTAACTTCCATATTTTCTTGAGAGGGTGTTGCTTTTAAATCTTTGACCAGCTCTTGTAAACTTTCCGACCGAGGAGAATTTCCTTGCATGGATATTTTGGAACTATTTTCCTTTATACTATTTAACAAAAAACTTATATGTACATAAAGATAAACCCAAAAAGTGAAAATAAAATAAAATAAAAGAATAAAGGTTGGTAAAAAAAAATTTAAAAAGTGATTATAATAAGAATGAAATATGAGAGGAGGGAATTAAAATACAATGAGTATGAGTCTTTATTATAATTAATATTGAAGGAGATCTCATCTGATTGGATTCGTTAAAAAATTAAAAAAAAAAGAGATAGTTTTAAAGAGAGGAATAAAACATAGGTTACATTCTGTATTTATAAAAAATTATAGCAGCTGTCATACTAATACATGATTTCCTATTTCGATTAATTTATGTAATGTAGCACACAATGAAGGAATTGGTAGGATTTACCAGTGAATTTTTAGGGGGGGGAGAAAAGAAAATGCACAAACTGCATTCATTTTTAGACAACCATCAATTAAAACGCCCGTGTACAACAAACCTTGAACATAATTTTTTTTTTTTTTTATTGTTACAATAATTAGTAAAATGAAACTCCTTTTGTTATTGAGTTTTGTTTTTTTATGTTTAAATGAAATGAAACTGGTAACAGAAACAATCTATATATTAAAGCAAACATCATGTCTGAAGCAAATATATATATATGTTATATTTATATTTATTTATATTATTTGTTTTATTTATAGAATTTAGGATCTATGAGGGGGCTTGTCATTTAACCTGAAGTCCTTAATTAGAAAAAGGTTGACTTAAATTAAATGTACTCAGGTGATTTTTTTTTTAATAAATTGTAATGTCAAACGAGCATCTTGTAGTCTAACCTTATACGATAACCTTTACGGAAATTTTTTCACGAGCTCGTGGTAAGATTGTAAGGGTTTATACGTGATAGGATAGTGGGCAATGGTTGTGTTACATCTATGACTTCTCTATCATTTATTTATTTACTTGTTACATAAAGAAGTTTTAGAATCAGACTTTTTTTTTTTAATGTCTCAAAAAGGTTTCATTTAATAGAAACCTAGTAAAGTAAAAAAAAAAAACTTTATCTAAACTTGCTTAGTGCTGGAACAAAAATACCTTTGAAAGGATTATAAAACGTTCCCCTGCATATAACTTTAATTACCACCACCCCAAATCTCATAGCATTCACTTACTTCAATGATAATAATGATAATCTAGATTCGCCTTCAAAGTTTGGGCACGACAAATTATTTTAGGTTTTACTTTTGCCGAATGCAAACTTTCTTAGCGAAACTTTCTCTTTCGTCTAAGAAACCAAATTCGTTTAAAACGCGTGACCTTGTGGCTGATCACGTGCTTTCTCTTATCAGAAACGTATCAATTCGATCACAAATTCTTGTATGGTGTGTTTTATCTACTGGCTCTCAAAAGTTTTTATTTTTTTTTTTCTCTTTCGATGGTAAAAAAAAAACTATCGAATAGGGATAAACAAATAAAAACGCGTAAATTACGCGTACATTGCATCGCAGACAAAAGTCGAATATGGTGAGATTTACGGTGCAACTACTTTTTTGTAGGGAGTTCAAATTTTAATGGACAGGCAATAGAAGTTGAATAAATAAATAAATATATTGTTCACAACTTCACAAAGTTTAGATAAAAATAAAAAAAATCATGTTCGTTTGAACGCCCATAATCAAGTTCTTTTCTTGTTTAAATCAAACGCAAATGCAAACACAAAAAAAAAAAAATAAATAAATAAATTGAAAACGTAAATATCAATAAAATTCAGATTTCATTTTCGCATTAAATGAAAAACGGATTATTATTTGAAAACTTGGATTTTAATTTGCAACATAAGTGATACGACGATTGATATTAAAGTTTACGGAGAATTGTTTGTTTATATTTTTTTTGTAAACCATCAAAAAAGATTTGCATAATGCCAAATTCATTAAAGTGATCGAATTTGATTTTAATGTCGTTCCATTTTTTTCTTTTCTTTTCTTTTCATTTTTTGGAAAACAAAAGGTTGAATAGATTAAAACTCGATGTCCTCTCAAAAGGTTTCAAACTTTTTGCGTGATTTCATTGTTTTATGCTTTGCTCCTGTGAATAATATAATATATAATGTGTTCGATACCAACAGGATAAGAAACGGGATTTTTTTTGGGAATCCCCTGAAACTACTGCTTACTAACCGTAAAACGTATCGCCCTGTATGTATGTGACACAAAGTCCACGTGACTTTGCACTTAAAATAAGTGGATGAAAATCAATTCCTATTTTTAAAATTTAAAATTCTCTTCCCTCCCTTTTTTTTCTTAAGAGGTTCATCGTATTATTCAAACCTTAAATCATAATTTTTTTTTTTTTTAAAAAACAAAAAATAACGTGGGAAAGAAAATAAACATGATGAATCTGAACAAGGATTGCCTTATATTGATAGTAAAAGAATTAGATGATGATGATTCTTTACATTCTTGTATTCTGGTTAATAAACTTTGGCATGAAACGGCGCTCCCGATTTTATGGAAGAATCCTTGGAGATTCTTAAAAAAGGAAAAGGATAACAACAATCATGAACATTTCATCAAGAAGATGACATTATTCTTTAACATCATTCTTTCACATTTATCACAAGAATCAATCAATTTATTAAGAAAGGATGGGATCGATATAGTTTCGAAACCAAGAAAACTTTCATTTAATTACATTGGATTTTGCAATTCTATCGATCATCAATTGATTTACATGTACATTCATGAGATATACAATGGTAATTATTATCAGAGGTTATTATTGGAGAAGGAAATCCTTAACCTTTTTATTAATAAATGCGTGAGATTTGATTACCTAAACATTAATGACAAGATGAAAATTCAAATCCATCAATTCCCCGGGGTGATGACAAGTCTATCAAAGCTTTATGAGTTACATTGCACCTCAAATATCGATCCAATGATCTTTTACGGGTTGGCTCAAATCTGTAGATTCATAGAAAAGTTTAACATAACCTTATCAGGTGATAATCCTGGACTTGCCATCTTGATCGAAAAACAACAGAGAATAAAATACCTTCAACTTAATTTACAGTATGAAAATGATTTTTATAAGGAAAGTGGTGAATTCGAAAGGTATGCTAGAAATGATAACAATAAACATAAATATGAAAGGTTGGGTCAGGCATTGGACAAACATGCCATCACCCTACTTTACTTAAATTCAAACATCATGTGGGAGAATGATTTCATTATTAACTTTTTACCAAAATTAATTAATTTACAATTATTATCATTACAAAAATTTTACGTTTCAAATTTCATAGAGAATCAATTATCAATTTCAAAATTTTCTAAACTTCAAATATTAGATTTATTTTCCATATCATTACAAACCACCATAAAGATTATTGAAAAAACTGATGGGAACCTTTGGAAGATCAAATTATCCTATTACAATTTATCTGATAAATTTTTTTCGGGAAAGTTGATTCAAACAATTTGTCAAAAATGTCCAAACCTTAAAGATGTTCACATCCTCCTTACTAATGCTCAGGATCTCTTTGAATTCGAAAAATTGTTAATCAATTGTCAAAACTTGGAGAGAATTATCATAGATCCCTATTTTGAAGATAATAATAAGATCGATAGTAATCAATTATTGGACATATTAATTAATTCGTCCCCCATTAGCTTATATAAAATTCATATCGGGAATAGTTTAGAATTTACCATAGATGCCTTGGATTTATTTTTTAAAAAATGGCAAGGGAGAAAGCCTTTATGGTTATCTCCCGTTAAATTGGTCGGTGAATATATTAATTGGGATGATATTGAGAACATCAATGATGATGAAATAAATATTTGTAATGAGTTACTTAACTTGCTTAAAGAATACAAAATGAAGGGCGTCATCAAAAAATATAGATATAGCATTTAAAAAAAAAAAAAGATAATAAAACGATAAAACATAAACATAAAAATCTTTAAATTTCGAGTTTTTTTTTTTTGCTTGCATTCGAAAACTATTAATTCAGTAGCGCACTTCGCCGAAATTCGGAAAATCAATTCTATATTCACGTAATGATTTTCAACTTTTCTCGTTTTTTTTCCCTTATCGAATGAATTTAAAAAAGCAGCATGATTCCAATATTACCAATCTCTGCAAAAGAATTTGCAAGATTTATGAGTAGATTTAATCTAAAATATAAAGAAAGATTAGGTATCGAATCATTATCATCTGTTAAACGATGTTGCTTTCTTATAAAACTTACCAATAAAAAATCTTTCTCTCTTTAGGAGTCGCTGTGTCAGGAGGGGTGGATAGCATGGCATTATGTTACTTATTAAACCAATATTGTAAAAAATCGGAACATCAAATTACGGCATTTATCATAGATCATCAATTAAGAAGAGAGAGTACAAATGAGGCATTTCAAGTTTCTAATGCTTTATCACAGTTGGGTAAGTGTCAAAAAAATTGCCTTTTTTTTCAAAACTAGATTCGAATAAAATTTATTTTATTCATCATTAGAAATCGATAATAAAATAATGAGAATTCAATGGAAAGAGCATGATACATCAAATCTTAATGATTTCGTTTCTCCATTTCCAACCAAATCTCAATATGAAACATTTGCTAGGATTGAGAGGTATAAATTATTAGCAAAAGGTTGTCATGAGAATAAGATTTCTTCATTGTTTGTAGGACATCACTTAAATGATCAATTAGAAACTTTAATCATGAGATTATCAAGAGGAAGCGGAATTGATGGACTAGCTTCAATTTCGATGATTGATAAATTTCCTGTTATAAGAAACGTTGAAGCCATTGAATTGCAAATTATTAGACCTTTATTATCTGTTACCAAGGTGTGATTTTTAAATGGATTTTTTTTTATTATATAAAATGAAAATTTTTATCTTTGTTTATTTTGCATTACTTTTAGGATAGATTAATAAAAACTTGTGTTGAAGCAAATATACCATGGATTGAGGATCCTTCAAATCAATCAACAGATCATAAAAGAAATATTGTAAGATTTTCATTAAATAAATTAAATAAAAGATATCTTGTTGAAGGATTGAGAGAATATGAACCTTTGTCTACAGGAGGATTGTTAAGGTTCATGAATCACATGAAAGATCACAAGAATTATATAAATTCCCAAGGTAAGTAATTGTTCTATGTATTTATTTAAAATATAAATAATATAAATATCACCTTTTTTAATCATAAATTTATATAGTGAACAAAATCATAAGGAATAAAGAATATTCAAAAATTAATTTTGATAATAATAATGGAATTTGTTCACTATCTTTACCAAATCCAATTCCTTCTTCTCATTGGATTTTAAAAAAACATTTAGCTACAAGGATAATAAGCAGAATAATAAGATTTGTTAAATGTTCAGAACAACCTTTAAGATTAGAATCTATACTAAAATTTTATAATCATATTTTATCATCATCATCTTCATTACATGATATGAATTTGAATTACAATATCACATTAAATAAGATTTTATTGTATTGTAAAAAAGTTCCTGTTCATATTAAAATCTTTGAAAATGGTTTTTATAATCATTGGATATTTTGTAGACAACCATTCACATCCTTAGAAGAAAAAAAAAATATTATAAATATTCAACATGATCAAGTTATATTATGGGATAATAGATTTTTTATAGGAATAAATATCAAAAATAATCAAACCGATTTATTCAAAAATCAAATACAACAGAAAATAATTTCTTTATCACCACAATATTATATAAGAAGATTACATAGTAAAGATATTTATAATATATTTGAGAAAAAGAAAAATAATCACAAAAATATAAATATTATATATAAAAATATAATTGAAGAATATAAAAAAAATGTACCTTATATTGCTAGACATAATATTCCTGTAATTATAAAAAAGTGGCATTGGATTTCTTTAGATGGTAATTTACATGAAAATGAAAAAATTATTAACATTCCAACTTTGAAAATATCATTGAATCAAGAAAATATTTATTGTTGGGTTAAATTTCGAGGAAATATTTTTATTGATACAAATGATAAAAAAATAAGTTAAAAAAGAAAATATTAGTTATTTCTTTCAAAAACATCAAAATGAATAAAGAGATTTTTTTGATAATTATTCTCAATAAAAAAAAGCTTTTTGCTAAATTTTACGTTAAAGTTAATTTTTCTGTTTCATATAATATTACTTTTTAATAAATTAAAATAACTTATAATCAATTAGTTTTATAAAATTAATAATGTTAAAAAGCTTAAAATATTTTATTACAATTATTAAAATTTGTAAATCAGACATTTTAATATTGATCTATAAGTTACATTTAAAAAATAGCTTTAGATCTAATAATAAAAGATTTTACTTATTTTAACATTAATCAAATTCTTATTTTAATATAAAATAAGCTTTAAAAAATATAATATATTGAATCATCAACTATTATAATAGCTGATAACGAATGTTATCTAATAGTATAAATAAGTATTTTAGATCTATTATAATCAATTTGATTATAATGAATTATCCATCTAAACTGATCAGATCTTTATTATAAGAAAATTCATATTACTATAACAAATTTTAGTATATATAATGAATAATTTGTTATAATAATAAAGTTACTTAATCAGACTAATTAAATTAGTTAAATAATTATATAACAGTAATTATATACTTTATTTTTTTTTATTTTATTATAAATTTATTTTTTTTTTTGTTTTTTTTAATTTAAGCTTTCTTATTTTTTTTTATTTTAATTTATGTTAATTTTTTTTTGTTTTTAATTTTAGATAAGGTAAAAAAAGAAAAAATAGTTTTTTTATCTTTTTGTATTAAATATTTTAATTTTAATTTCAAATAGAAAATTTTTTTATTTTTTTATTTTTTTAAGGTTAGTCTCTTTAAATTTTGTAAACTAATTGATAAGTTGATTAATAAATAGACTTCTTTAAAAATGTTTACTAATAAAATTCTAAACAAATTAGTTCAAATTAAATCAATTAAGTTACTTAAACTGAAAAATTAAGTCAGGTCAAATAAAAATCTGATTTGATTTTAATTTTTATTAGATATGATTAAATTATTCAAGAAGAAGAATAACAAATTATTCAAAATGAATAATTAGTTAATCTGAATTTTATCAGATTAGATAATGGTTAATTTGACCTAATATTAATCTGAAAATCTATTAACCTAACTTAGAATTTTAAGTTAGATCAAATTAAGTAAATAAGTCAATCTAATTTAATTTAAAGTTCTAATATTAATATTACAGATTCAATGTAGTTTTTCTTAATTTATTATTACTAATTAATTTTTTAAAATCTATTTTAAATTTAAAAATATACAAGTCGTTTTATAAATACATATAAAAGATTTTAATTTAATTTATGATAAACTTAACCTTAAATTATAATATAAATTAATAATATTAAACAGATATTTAGATAATATCTATCATAAAAGAAATTATAATAGATGTATTGCTTATATTATAAATCTCACAGTTCAAGAAATATTAAAGGAAATTAAAACTGAATGATATAAAAATGAAAATATAATTATAGAAAAATTTGAAGAAATAAACATTTATATATGTAAGATTATACCTAAAGTAAATTCTTAATATATAGATAATATAATCAGAATTATCTATTAGATTTTATTAATTATTTAATTCAAATATTATTATTTAATTAAGAAGCTTATTATAAAAATTCAAGTATTTTTAATACATCAGGCAAAATTTTAATCAGTATAATTTTTATTAAAATGTTAAAAATCTAAATCTTATTTTAAATATAAAGACAAGATGTTAAAATTTGTATTTAATTTTTAAAAGATAAAATATTAAAATTTATTAAAATTTTTCTATAATAAATTATAAAATTATTTATTATCATACCATTCTGAAAATAAGTAACCTATAATATGCTCCTTTTATGGTAATTTTTTATTTGTTACTTGTATTTTATTATATTATTTATTACATATATAATAATAAATATTTATTTGTCACATATTACTTATTTTCAGAATAGTACGATATATTTATAATTATATAGTTACTTAATAAAATTATAAGAATTAAATAAGAACTGATACAAATGTGAGTATATATATAAAAGATAAAAGGAAGGATTCAGATATATTAGATGTGATAATTTAATAATTTGTAGTTATTATTCTGATGAGCCAAAATAAGCATTTATTAAATATATATATAGAATAATAATAAGTAATTCTAAAGTATCTTATTATGAGAATATTAGATTTACCTACATATCTCCAGAAAAAATTTTTAGTGTAAAATTATTTTCATTTGAGAGAAGTGTTTTAATCATTTTTAAGGATATATATGTTACTCTTAAATCTATTTAAAATTAAATTATACTATTTTTTACACATGAATAATATCAAAATATTTCTTTATACTATATTACTTAGAAGTATTATTACGTATCTTATACTTTATTAATAACTTGTATTTATTATTTCATTTACTTAATATCATACCTTAGTTTTGCTACTTCAATCTTAAACTTAACATTTTCAGCATCATGCTTGCATTCTTCTCAATAATCTGTCTTAACTTCATATTTTCAACTTTAACCTTAGCAAACTTTAGTAACTTCTCTTTAAGTTTATAAATCTCAGTATTCTCCTTCCTAAGCTCTGTAATCTTAGCTAAGAACTTGACATTTAATTTTCTCAATGAATCAGTAGATTGTATATTAGATAATAATTTTTATACGAGATGAAATAATTCAAAAGTTTATTAATATAAATAAAAAATGAGGTGATATTCTTATTAGAATTGCTGATTTATTGATGTAAAACTTATTTTACAATATAAAATAGTATTTTTATGTTAATATATGCTAATTTTTGCTTATTTATACTATTAATACATATTATTTTACTTTATGACCAATTTTATTGTTCTAACTATCAATATTCTTAATAAAGCAAAAATGATCGTTAGTTATACTTATATGTAGTATTAGAAAATAAATTAATGAATAATAATATTAACCTTAAGCTGAAATTTTATATTATTTGCAATCTGTGATTCTTCAAAAATTTGTACGAGAAAATTATTATTTGTTTGCAAGTCTTAGAATTATTCTTCTGTAAAATTACAACCTAAAAAAATATTTTATTTATATCTTCATTATATAAGTATCTTGTTCAGACTTTACCAGCATTTTTTTCAAAAGTTGATATGTTAGT